TTGTCTCTCTGCTGTCTCTCCCCTGTTTCTCTCCCATCTCTCTCCTGTCTCTCCCCCCTCCTCTCTCTCTCCTCTCTCCCCCCTGTCTCTCTCACGCCCCCTCCTGTCTCTCTGCTGTCTCGGCAGGGAAATATCTGGCCCTGCAGGCAGGTGCCATCACGTCCCTCCTGGCGCTCGTGAGCAGCCCGCGTACTGATGTGTGTGCCAATGCCCTGCGCGCCCTCACTGCCCTGGCAGAAGCCCCTCCCGCGAGGCAGGAGCTGCTGGGCCACGTGGAGCTGCTAGAGACCCGTCGCCATGACACCAACGAAATTATCAGCCGTGCAGCCGCCACTGCGATCCGGGTCATCACCTGGACTCCCTGAACACACCTGGCCACACCTGTCCACATCTGAACACCGACTGACACATCTGAAGAGACACTAGACACCCTGGACACACCTGAACACTGACTGACACACCTGTAGAGACACTGAACACCCTGGCCACGCCTGGACATTGACTGACACACCTGTAGAGAGACTGAACACACCTGGCCACACCTGGACACTGACTGACCCACCTGAAGAGACACAAGACACTCTGGACACACCTGGACACTGACCGACACACCTGTAGAGACACTGAACACACCTGGCCACACCTGGACACTGACTGACCCACCTGAAGAGACACAAGACACCCTGGACACAGCTGGCCACTCACTGACATACCTGAAGAGACACTGAACACCCTGGCCACTCACTGACATACCTGAAGAGACACTGAACACCCTTGACACATCTGGACACATCTAACTGATGTGACTAAGACACGGTGTGCTCACTTGTTTTAAAATCCATGAATTATTTTTGTCTCACTTTGCAAATAAACAGAAGCTGCGAGCAGTGTGGTGTGAGGTCTGTCCTGAGTCTCTGCTCTGTCCCAACCACAGGCCTCAGTCTCTCCGCACAGGAAGGTGGAAGAGAGCTGCTGGTGTCTTGTCCCTGTGTTCCTAGCAGAGAAGGGCCTCTACAGTCTGTCAGCGAGTGAGAGAGAGGGGTTGCAGATTCCCTACAGTAAAGACAAGGTCACCAGCCCCTACTAAACCCCCTATAACCAGTGGTGAGAGAGAGCCCTGCCCAGACTGCCAGCTCTGAAACACAAGAAACACAAAAAAGCCAACATTAGGAGGAATTAAAATCAAAATTAGTCTCTTAGCTGTCAGCACGTCTTAATAGGATTTGGTGTAGAATGTTGCCCTTTGGTATGAGCTTGCTGTGCGCACCTGCAGAGCTCTCTGTGCAGTGTGTTAATGGAGTTATAACACAGTCAGCCCCAGCACTGCTGACAGGCTGCCGGCCAGCGACCCTCTGAGAGGAACCACAGCGCTAGAGAGGCCTGGGCTGTCACTGGCCGCGACCTGCTCCCTGTGAGAAGGACAGCTGGTCGACCAGTAGGGG